GCCTGAGGAAGGGCGGGGCCTGCGCGTGGGGAGCCCCGAGGCAGCGGGAAGCGTTCGCCCTCTACCCCCTGTGCCTCACTCCCTGGGGAGCTGCGGGGGGACCTGGGTTGGCACTGACTGTGACGCTCCCTTCTGGTCCTGGCTGGGCTCGCAGCCCTCTTCCCCCTGTGCCTCACTCCCTGGGGAGCTGCGGGGGGACCTGGGTTGGCACTGACTGTGACGCTCCCTTCTGGTCCTGGCTGGGCTCGCCAGCCTCCAGCGGGACTGCCCCCTTGGCCCCACAGCCGGGGGGGGCCTGGCCCTGGGAGCAGGGCTTGCTGCGCTGGCACAGCTGGCCTGTGTCAGAGCAGGGGCGCCTGGCCTCCCTCCCCAGCGTCTGGCCGAGGCAAAGGCCGTGTCCAGCTGCGGTGGGAATTCACACGCTGCCCCGAGCGGGCCCCTCGGCCGTCTGTGGACGACTTCGCTTGGCACCTCAGAATTCAGCCGCGGCCGCTTGTCTGCCCATCTTCCAGCTCCTGGGCGGCGGAGCCAGAGGCCTGTTTCCACGTGTGCCGAGGGCCTGCCGGGCTCCCAGGCACTGGCCAGGCCTGATGGGAAGGCCTTTGGATAGACTGCCTCTTCCCTTCCCTTCCCTTCCCTTCCCTTCCCTTCCCCTCCCCCAGCCCTGCACCTCACGTGTTTTCCTGCATCATCCACCCGGCTGTCCCCGTCGGCAGGGTGCCACGGTGACTTGATTTACGGTGACTTTCCGGCACAAGAACTATTGCACCCAATTGGGGTTATTCCTCTTTCTAACGGCTCCCGCTGAGCGCGTCATAGAACTAACTGTGATGGGGGGTAGCTGTGAGGGATTACGGAGGTTTCATTTATTTAGATGCAACCAGGATAGTCACGTCTAGGGATAGAGCCATTTAGTGCTGTAAAGGCCAACTCCCAAAAGTGAAAGCCGCCATGTGCAGAAGGGAGAGGGAAGAAATGTGGAAACATGCAAACTTCCATAACTGGCAGTTAGTTAAGAATGTTTTATTAGATGTAAAACCGACCAACTCCCCCCTCACTGGTCTGCAATCACCAAAGATGTCTTTTTTCATTAATAAAAAATACCTTGGTTCAGAGGGGAGGTGAAAGAAGCAGTAAAATGTACATAAAACAAATAGGGAAACTGATAACACTCAGCAGTGGAAACATGCAGGCAATTGAAAAGGGAAGCTAAAAGCATTGGTAAAAAAATCGATGGCAGTAGGGT